TGCCTGGTTGAGGTTTTTGCTGCCAAGGGGGGCAGTCAACCAATTATTGATTCCAAGGGTTCACTTACTTTTTCCACTAGCATTTTGAATGTTGAATGAGTGTGTTCAATAACGACATGAAGGATCAGAATTGTTTTTGTGTTATTATTTCAGGCACATTATATTTGTCAATACTCTTGACTTAGATGATGGTCAGATCACATTTTATGACAAATAAATGCAGAACCAATTATTGATTCCAAGGGTTCACTTACTTTTTCCACTAGCATTTTGAATGTTGAATGAGTGTGTTCAATAACGACATGAAGGATCAGAATTGTTTTTGTGTTATTATTTCAGGCACATTATATTTGTCAATACTCTTGACTTAGATGATGGTCAGATCACATTTTATGACAAATAAATGCAGAACCAATTATTGATTCCAAGGGTTCACTTACTTTTTCCACTAGCATTTTGAATGTTGAATGAGTGTGTTCAATAACGACATGAAGGATCAGAATTGTTTTTGTGTTATTATTTCAGGCACATTATATTTGTCAATACTCTTGACTTAGATGATGGTCAGATCACATTTTATGACAAATAAATGCAGAACACCATGAAATTCCAAAAGGTTCACATACTTTTTCTTGCAACTGTATGATTACACTTGGGGGACACTACTACTTTGTAAGTGAAAATACTGTAGGACAACTGTGATGTCTACTTTTGCATACCCCAGCATAGAATTTCTGTGAACTTTAAAACTTTAAAAAGTTCTCCTACATGATTATTCTAAAAATAGTTTATTATTTGCAATGTTTAATATAATTGCTTTATAATTATAGGAACAGCTCCTAATAACTTTATATAATGCATGAAATTGGTACCTTAATAATATCTAGACTGAGCAAGTTTTTCCATCTAGATTCTGGCAGCAAAGAAAGAGTCACAATTGTTTCTCCCAGCTGCTGTGGAGAATCATATTGTATCATTTCATCATTTGTTTCATCCTCTTCTGTAACATCTTCAGCTTCCAATTGTAAAAGAAAAGAATGCATATATTACAAAACTTCAAATTAAACATATGCAGAACACAAAATTGTTGAAGTCCAACAACAATCCAGACAGTCGCTAAGAATGCACATTCTAATCTTTACTGCAACACAACAAAAGCCTTCTCTGAAATTCATCATTTGCAGTTAAAACTAATTGGATGAAGCTTATTTGGCCTAGGGTCTTATATCTACATAGAGAGTATGCCTATTTGTCCAGTTCTATCCTATCACCATCATTTTCTCCTTCATAGCAACATAAAAAGCAGACTATATATTAAGTAGACTATGGATATTCTCATTCTTGAACTCCCACTCTTTTTCTAGGTATCATCAGAAAGAAGTTATGCAACTTCTAACTATTCCCTGAAATGTCTATAAATTCTATGTAAGTTAGCAGGCACATGTGGATACAGTTCTCCACTTTTCTCCAATAGGTTCAGTCTGAACTTCATTAAAGAATGCAAATATATAAACATTTTACACTGCAAAATTTAAAACAGAAAGCGTAACTTCCAAGTGAACTTACATCCATTCATAGGATGAATATATGAAAAAACATAATAGGAATTTCAATTATTACAATTACTCTGCATATATTGGATTGAAGCACCAAATCTGGACTGTGAAAATGCAGAATACTGAAGAGAATGTTAAATTCTATTATCAATATCTTTTATAATAGTTTTCAGAATCAGGAACATTTTTATGATATTTGAAAGAAAACTTTGACCATTTCCTTTCATGACTTTAATGGTCTACAAATAAGAAAACAATTATACTGAATTTTATTTAGAACATTTTAATCTCACCTCTCTGTATGTATATGGACTGGATCTGGACATAAGTAGTATTTATACACTTCTCATTATCCCCTATCTTTCTCTGGTGCTAGTATCTGCTTGAATGTTGATTTAACTACAATTTACACTGGGTGCAATTTTATCATTTTATCTGAAGTCAGCCAGATAAGGTTCCTTACAAATAGCAATAGTTACTGTTACAGGTTTAGGTTTAACATAATTTAAAAACGATTTTAAATTGGTTAAGGAATAAGCACTGAATAATCTAATATACTTAAGATATGCATGAATACTTAGCAAACCATAAACCCAGAACTGAAAGCAACAAAACCATAGTATTTGTTATAAAATATGTATAGCAACAAAGCTATTATTGAGCATTATTTGGGAAAAGCATCTACTTCTGAACTTTTCTGTTTAAAGACAAAACTGGATTACTTCCAGTTTTATTGATTTTTCCTCTTATAATTTTCTGGCCATTACATGAGTTTTGCTTTCAAGAAAATCAAAAGGGTATGAGAATAATGGCCGGACTGTCTGAAGTGCTGCTGCTGCTGCTCCTCCTTCCATATGCATTCTAAAGTTCACTGACATGTCATATTATACAGGACTACCTTTTCTTGCCTACCTACAAACCATCACTGCAGATTGTAACTTTCATTCTCTATTTCCCTTCTGATAAGCTGACCTCTTCCATTTCTACCTTTAAAACTCTCAAAGGACCTTGGAAATCACACCATCAAAATTCAGACATTTTGCTGCTGGACTTGAGCAGTGTGATTTGGAGTTGTTAGGAGTGTTTAAAAATGGAAAAAGGTTTGCTTCCGAAGGCCTTTTGCTTCCATTCCCTACTTAAATGAATCCCTACCAAAGCCTTTCAAGGACGTTACTGCATCACTGGATGATTTCATGCAGCCCATATAGGGTAGAGAGGCTGGGCTACAGCCCTGACATCTCAAAGATTTCCCAGCTATGACTTACACCAGTGTTTCTCAACCTCAGCAACTTTAAGAGGTGTGGATTTTAATTCCCAGGATTCTGAGAGTTGAAGTCCACACCTCTTAAAGTTGCTGAGACTGAGAAACATTGCCGTACACCAGTGAATTTTAGATTATAAGATCCTTGGCTTTGCATACTGATAATGTATTAAATATTTTTATTTGAGCTATGTTTTAAAAGCCAGGGCTTAACAATCATAAATTTTTTAATCTGGTAATTTCAGCTAGTTTTATTACAGAGTTTTACATTATTATTTGTTCCATTCTAGTTGACAGGGAAAGATTCAAATAAAAAAATTGATCTCAATCTTTAATTAAGCACATTGCAATTCAAGCTAGGAGACATTCTAAAACTTTTGTTGACTATTTCCTAAATAAGGTTTCAAAAGCAGGATTGCTAGTAAATGCAGGTGACTGATGATTTTCCAGTAAATAAATACACTGTTATACCAAACAAAAACTTTTAGTAGAGTCAACTTTTTGCTGTTGTAAAAACCTTAGGCTAACAATTTGACCAGATCCTGCTATCAAAATAGATAGAAATGTATCTGATTCCAAATTATATTCATGTGAAAGAACCAAACTGATTTTGTGCCATAGTAACAAGAAATTCCAAAATATTATATATTTTCTTAATGTGATTCTCTGAAACTATTATTCCAAGGCCCCACTCTACATGCATTACTACCTTGAGTTGAACAGGTACCAGGAAGTGTTACAACAGAAGGCTCATAATCAGATGGAAGAGGGCGCAAGGAGACAAGTGAAAACAGGGAACGGTTAGACCTAAAAAGACAATACAAAGCAACAAACAACAACAACAATATATTAAATTGGTATGCCGCCTGACTTTCAACAACTCTGGGCAGCTATTGGGTGCAGAAAAGTAGAAAGAAATGTCTATACTGATATTTGTTAAAGTTGAAAGTCTTTACATTTCAGTTACATTAGGAAAGTGGTCCCACAATACTTATCTGATTTAGTAGCAACCCTGTATGCTAGAAAGCACTTTTTAAAAGGGAAAAATCATCACATTTTTGTGACTGTATTGTGGAACAATCCAAAGAACAGAAATAGTCACATCATTTTTAGAATAGAATTACAAAGTAACTTAATCTGACATTGATGAACTTACCACAAGTAAATTCCAAGATCATCTACATGACAGGAAGCAAGGAAATCTCCAGTAGGAGACATAGTAATGCTTACTGCTGCTGAATCTAATAGGAAACAATCAACCAGGCTGCAAGATTTAAAAAAAAATAAATTCATCATATGGTAGATAATGCATGAAACTAGATTTGTTTATTCTTTTCTTCACTTTCAGGCAAATGTTATCTTTCAAAGTTGTTTATATCAATAAAAAGCAAAGATAGACCCTGCAAACTTAAAAAAAAAAAAATCAACCCACTGCTCATTGATACAATGGGTACCCCCTTCCTTTCCAGCTACCTAATCTGGGCTGGAATAGATATGGAAGGTCTGCTGCAAAAAGAGGGGGAAAGTTTATTTGCTTGAAACTGGCCCAAGAGCCCAGGACTACATTAGATAAGAAGATCTGCTCCCCACTTCCTAAACTACCCCCCCAATTTGGCTCCTTGTTTTCCTAAATAAATGTCTTCCATGAATAAAATACAACTATAAAGGATTCAAGGATAACCTTGCCAAGCTAAGGTTGTTCAAACATCCCCACCCCCCCATTTGCATGGCTGACAGCTGAATTTTAACAGTAACATTTAGCAGAAGGATATTTGGTATATCTGGCAAGTCCTTTGACAGTTAAGCAAGTAAGCAAATATCCACATTCTCTGACTATCTTTTGTTCATGCTCAAAGAACCATTATGTATATCCTCACACTAATTACTAATTGTGAACAGTTGTGAACACAAATTACTAATTGTGAACAGACCCAAGATAGAAAAACACTGATTTCCAGTCCTTACTCACTTTTAATGTGTTCTGATAGGCGATACAGAAATTCCATTCCAATGTCCTGTACAAAAGCACTTTAACACCAATTCCTTCCTTTTCACCTATTTTACTGTATTTACTGCTATTGCATACAGGTGCTACACTCAAATTCCCATATATTCTGAAGCACTTTTTGGAGGTCAGATCTGAAGTGTTGGACAATCCCACCCATCAGCAGCTTTCCTGGCCTTTATTTACAAATATTACTTGCGCAAAATAAAGCAACTCACTTTGATGTATTTCTCAAAGACAGAACTTTGCTATCCCGATTCTGATTTCAGGCTTAAAGTACAGTACCATATACAGGGATAACGTATAAATGTTCTTCTGTAATAAAGTTTACTTACCATCCAGATGGTAGATCCCAAGTCCTAATGGTACAGTCCATAGATGCAGTTATTAGCCAACGACCATCAGGACTGAAAGTCTACAAAAAATTATAATTAAACTTTTATAGGGTAACAGTGGCCTATTCATTGATAAAACCAATACTTTAGGTTGGATCTAACTTATAAAGTCTTATAACTGATCCAGTTTGGAACCTGAACCAATCATGAACCAACCTCATAATCAATATTACAAAGAAATATCCCAGAAATTTCTTTATGACACTTTTAAGGTTTGCTGCTCTATTGTTAGAAAGATATTTGGGCCATTCAGAGTTTTAACACATTAGTCTAGAAGCCCTGTTCTTTTTGTACTGAATCATGCTTGATTGACCTTAGAGACAACTAACCCTTTGAGATCTTTGTGGAGAAAACTTTAACGAATCTTAAATGAGGACACAAAGTCCACCTTTTGGCTTCGATACATTCGTTGTGTGCTATTTTTTCAGGCAAATCTTTAGATAAATCTAGATTCTTTTCTGTCTCTATAAACTTTCAATTGTCTGAATTGTGGTGAATTTCTTTTTCAATCTATTTTTTTAACCAGTAATTGAACGCAATGTCTCTCTGAAGTTCCTGTGTGAGGACTGCTGGCTGTTCCACCTGCTTAAACTTTCCTCTGATCACCGTGTTGGTTTTCCCACATTTTTCTAAAGTAGATCAAGCAGATATCAGACAGTGATAGTCATCAGACGAAAATACAAAAGGCAGAAAATTACACAGAAAAGCCCGGTGGTGCTAATGCCAGCTTGTAATGCTTTCATTGTAATTAGATGTATGACTTAGCCCCACTACATTAATATGGCTGGGAAAAATGTGGAATTCCCCAGTTTTATATCTACAGTGGTGAGGGAAAGTTTGTGAACTCTTTAGAATACTGTACTCCTGCAGTGTCATAATCTACAATGTGCTATGAGCTTCATCTAAGTCCTATTAATAAAGAATTCTGGATAAACAGATAGCCCCCAAACAGTGTACTGGATCATTTCACATTTTAATACACTGAGCCAACATTCACTATAATTGCTGGGAAAAGTATGGGAAGATTTAGAATTAGTATCTAGTGACACCTTTAACAATTCCTGTATCGAGAGGGCGGAGCTGGCGTCGCGGCGGGGGCGCCGGCCGTGCCCCGGATCGGCCGCG